TTTTTTTTTTTTTGTATTTCTTCTGTTTATTCTGTGCGCTCAAATATTTTACTTGTGATTTTTTTGACTGATATTTTTGTTTTCTTCTGATATTGTTGACGCAGATGCGCATTGGAAAGCCCCGTGATAAACGCATGGCCGCTGCTATGAGAAGACTGCCTGCCTCCTGGGCTTCTCATACGTCTCTGCATCTCGCTGTTTCTGTTCTTTGTTGTGTGCCGTTTTGGCGGCGCTGGGGGGGAAAAATGAGATGTTAGTGCAATGGCGCTCCGGTGCAGGCTGCTGCGCCGGTCGTATGCCGCGGAAGGCGGTGTCGCGAAGGCCACTGTTGCCTCTGCGGCGGCGGTAGCGGCTGGTCCACAGATGGCCCAGAGTCAGGCCGCCCCCCAGCCGCATCAACGACGGCCGCCGGTTGAACCAACCAGCGCGAAGGAAATCGATGCCCTGCGGAAGGAGCTGGCAGCAGCGCAGCTTCGCATTGCAGAGCTGCAGATGAGTCAACTCGCTACGCACGAGGCGCTGCTGCGTCGACTGGATGAAGCTGACCGAGCCGCACACAAGGCGGCAACGGAGCTGCGCTACACCGCCCTCGCCCTGCAGTGCCACCACGACCTCCTAGAGACGGAGCTGCGACGCGTGCTGGCGGTCGTGCCGCACACCACCGAGGCGACGGCGGAGGACATGGAGAGGATTCGCCGCGCTGCCATTGAGGCGGGTTCGAGGGAGATGGTGCGAAAAAATATTGGCTTCCGTGTAGAAAAGGTGTCGGAAGAGCCGGCGGCGGTGGTAAAGTCTACCAGCAATGCTGCCAACAACAACGGCAGTAGCAGCAGTTTCTCGTGATTAGCTTCCGTGTTTCCATCTCCTCATAACCTGCTTGGCGTGGGTCACTTGCATTTGTACCGCTATGGCAGCCCTCGCATGAGGCCCATCCACCCCAGCCAGATGCACACAAGTTTGCACACACGTACTCTCTCTGTGCCCTGCTCTCCAGACTTTTGGTGTGCGTGAAAGAAAACAGCTTTGCACAGGCACACACACACACACACACACACACATAGAGATAGACGCGCATCATAGAAGCGGGACGTGATGGCGACGCTGAAACCGAAGATGACGGTGGCTGCGGTGCGTGGTCGCATCATCGTGATGAGTGAAGACGGTGAGCGCATTGGGGCGTGGGGTGGCACGGAGTGTTTCCTATCGAGGCAGACAGGGCTGGGCCCCTGCCTCGTTGTGCGCTCAAGTCGCCACAGGCGCCACGAGGGAACGTTCTTCCAGCTAACCGGGCTGCAGCGCGTGCTGGCGACGTACGCAACAGAGGGGAAGCTGACTGTTGTCATGCCGCACGAGCGGAGGGTGTGCAGCGTGTTCATCGAGACAACTGCGGATGTGGACGCGCTTCGGATTATGGCCGCAGTGCTGCAGGACCGATCCCATTGGAAGGAGATTGAGAAAAATGTGGCGTGCAAAAAAGGACGCGAGGCGCGTGCCTCAGGGGCGAAGGGTGGAGACCTCCGCGATCCAAACGCCTTGGGCATGCCGGATTGGAATAACAACGACGACGATGATGATCAGGAAAACAGCGGCGATGAGATAGACCACCAGTCGACGGAAAGAACGGTGGAAGCGGCAGCGGCAGAAACAGAGGGGTTGCCGCCAGCAGCGCCGTCAATACGGGGCGGCGCCCCTGTGGCGCCATCGCCCACAACCGCCGTCTCGTCGTGGGGGGCGGGGCGCAGCGATGCAGTAGAAGCCGCACCTCATGGAATGCTATGGGCAGCAGATCAACTGCGTGCGATTCAGCTGATCCGCGCCGGGCGGAGTGTTTTTGTGACGGGCTCTGCCGGCACCGGTAAGACGGCGTGGCTGTTGCACGTCGTGGACCGTGTTCTGACACGCGGCGAGGGGACTGTGGTGACGGCCACAACGGGTGCTGCCGCACGACTTCTTCGCGGCTGCACGCTTCACTCCTTTGCGGGGATTGGTAAGGGCGAGGGAACACTCGAGAAGGTGCTCCACCGTGTGAAGAGCCGCCCGGAGGTTGTGCGGGCGTGGCGTTCCTGCGAAACGCTCATCATTGACGAGATCGGCGTCCTTCCTGCAGCTGTCTTCGCTGTTCTTGACGAGGTTGCGCGGTGCGTGCGAAAGGTACCCGAGAAGCCCTTCGGTGGGATTCAACTCGTCCTCCTCGGTGACTTCCTGCAGCTGCCGCCTGTCGTCGCCCGGGCCACCAACGCCGGCGGCAGCGGGCAGACACCGAAGTGGTGCTTTGAGTCCCCGCTTTGGGACAAACTGCAGCTTGTCTCGATTGAATTCCGCAAGAACTACCGCCAAGAGGGCGACCCTGCGTTCGAGGCATGCATGGAGGACATCCGCTACGGCCGGTATACGCGGCGTGTGGAGCGACTCATGTCGGCGTGTCTCAGTAATCGTCTGGGCGAGCGCTACGGCGTTGAGCCAACGATGATCATGGCGCGTCGTCAGGACGCCGCGGCGTACAACACAGAGCGGCTGCAGCAGCTGGACAACGTTGACTTCCACCGGTATGCCTCTGAGGACTACGCATCGACGCCCGGCACTGACCTGGACAAAGAGGTATCGCTTCCGCCGCTGCTGGAGCTTCGCGTAGGGGCGCAGGTGGTGCTACTCGCCTCTTTGCCGGACGCGCCGCACCTTTCGAACGGTGACCTCGGTGTTGTTGTTTCCTTCTTGGAGCAGGCACACGGCCCTGCGCTACCTGTGGTGTGTTTCGCGAGCAGCAGCGGTGAGGAGGTGGTGGTGCCACGCGTGCGGATGGAGGTGCTCTCCGCAGACGGCCTGATCGCAGCCTCACGCTTGCAGGTGCCGCTGCAGCTGGCGTGGGCGCTGACGGTGCACCGCGTTCAGGGCATGACGCTGCCAATGGTACGAGTGAAGCTCGACGCAAGTTTCTTCGAGTGCGGTCAGGCGTACGTCGCACTCACGCGGGCGCGCCGACAGGATGATGTTGCTATCACGCGTTTCGACCCTAGTGCCATCCGTGCTGACGCAAGGGTGGTGGCGTTCTACGAGAAGCTCTTTCCTCGCGGGCGGCAACAGCAGAATGACGCGGACAGCGAACTTGTGGAGGCGCAGCGTGGCGGGAAGCGACAGCGTTCGCCGCCTGCTGTCCTGCATGGCGACAGCAGCAGCAATGGCAAGAGCACGCAGTGGACGGATGAGCAACTCTTTGACAGCCAACTGGAAGACCGCATGTCCCTGGCAGTACCGCCACAGCCGGTGACGCGCAGCGCTTTGAGGTTATTTGCTGCGACCAATAGTCTTATTCCGCAGCTCACGCAAGAGAGCGAAACTGCGGACTCAACGCAGCCCCTCCAGCTACCCGTCTCGCAGCGTACATTGCTAATGGACGATGAATAAAAATCAACGAAGCAATCGGGGGTGGGAGAGAGAGAGAGAGAGAGAAGAAAGGAAAGCATCATCTGTTGCTTCAACTGTAGGGCGTGTAAAATAACGGTTTGCTACCTGTTGTGAGTCCCTGCCTCTGTTGTCGATCTTTGAGGGGGTGGGTTCCCTTCAAATTTTTTACTGTTATTGTTCTTTGGGTTTGGTGAAGTTTAAAATATGGGCATTGCGCCTGTCTCATGTCTTACTTGTTGATGCTGCTGTTATTGTTCCTGTCGTGTCTGTTCTTTTCACAATAAAAGTCTAGGGGCCGAGGCATTCCCTCCGCACACTCTGTCTGTGGTGGATGCCGCAGGACAAACGACTGATTGTGACCAAGGCCGTTGTGCACAAGCTGCAGCGGCTATGCGGGGGCGAGGCGGCCGCTGCAGAGAGCGGCATCTACATTGAGTTCATCGTGCCGACGGTCGTCGTGGCGCAGTGCCCGGATCTCCTCGGCACCCACATCTTTCAGCTGCCGAAGCGCACGTACCCCATGAACGGCCGCACGACGTGCCTCATCGTTCCCCGCCTCATCTCCGGCGACGCCATGAAGATCAACAAGCGGCACGGGTATTACGACGCCGTTGTGACGGCGGAGGCTATCTGCAAGCGCGACGACACAGAGGCCGCACGGCGAGCGGCGCAGGTTGCCAAGACGTTCTCCCACTTCGTGGTGGACGCTCGCATCGTGTCGAAGCTGCCGCAGTGTATTCTCGCCGCAGCCGCAGCTGCAAGGCCAGTCCCCTCGCCCTCCCCTGGGCCAGCGTCCGCGCAGGGCGACCGGAAAGGTTCCGCGTCGCGCAAAGCCGCACTCAAAAGCAACGGGGCGAAGTCCGGAGATGCGGCAGCCGCCTCTGCCACCACCACTCCTGCTGCTGCGCAAGGGTTGTCGGTGATAAAGGCGTCGCGGCATTGCATCACCGCCCTGCACGGACTCGACGACCGCACAAGCCTCACATTCCGACTCTCGCAGGGTGCAACGGGTGGCGTGTTGCGTGCGAGACAGCAGGGACAGCTGATGTTCCGTGTTGGTCACGGTGGAATGACGGCTGGAGACGTGTGCGAGAATGCGAAGAATTTCGTTTTTGCGCTTAAGAAGGACTTTCCAACAGTATGGAAGTACATCCACGAGTTCAAGATGACGTCGGACGCGACGGAGCCGATCCGTTTCATGGAGGTGCACATACAGAAGTAAGTGCCATCACGTGGTGCATTTCTGTGTTGAGAATTTGGCGTCGATTAAGTCTTGTGTGGTTGGTAATGAAAGTAAACTGCAGAAATCTGGGCTCCACGCGCCGCACTGCTAGTTAATGGTTGGATGCATTGTTCTTCACGCACTGACTGCACACAAAGTGGATATGGTTCACTTCTTTTTTGTTGCTGTTTGTTTGTTTGTTTTTGTTTTTTGCCGCCTTTGTAACTAAAAAGGGACTCGGTCCCATCGCCACTTATTATACCAATTTGAGTGGGTAGGAGTAGAGAAGAAAGCAGAAGGCCTGAAAGTTTGGGCGCGAGGTTAAGCCGCAACGGCCACCCACGTGTTCTTCTTTCCTTCGTGTAAGAATATTCGATGCCCAATACCACATCTATTCGCGACGCTGCTGTAGGCACGTCGCAGCGGAGTTTGGCGCAGCAGCACACACAGCAGCAACGAGTGCAGCAACCGCAGCAACAACAGCCACAGCAGCAGCAGCAGCATCCGACGGCTGATGCGGATGAAGCTCACAGGTACCTGCGCCGCCACGGTGTTCCTAGCAAGGTGGAGAATATAATCAGCAGTGTGCTGAGTGAGCGGCCGGAGGATCCGCTGCTTTATATTGTGGAGCACCTCCGCAGCAACAGCAAAAACAACAAAAACGACAAAGGTGATCAAAATGACAAACAACTTCCCAAGGAGCGTCAAACGGACGCAAACACTTCTAGCACTGTAGTGAGGGACCGCAAAGAGAACCAGCGCGTAGCAGAGCATCCCGCTACGCGGGGCGACGCACCGCGTCCGCCGCATCGTTCGACAGAAGAGGTGAATACAAAGACGGAGCCGCGGCGCCGCAACAGCAGCAAAGACTCCGCTGCACAGGTTGCCAAAAAAGGCGGCGGTGAGAAGTCCGGTGGTGGTGGTGGTGATGCACCGCCTGAAGACATCCTGCGTTCGGAGCTGACGCCGGCGACAATGAGCGAGACGCCGGTGCACGGCGAGCTCAGCGGGTGGGCCTTCCCGACCAGCGTCGCAAACGTGACACCTCCGCCCGATTCGCAGCTGCAGGCGATGCACACAAGCTTCAGCAGCACGCGCACGACGAACATCTGCGCCATGCGGCCGTCCTCCGCACTGATGGGGCAGTGGAATTCGCTGCGCAGCAGCCGCAATGAGACGCCGTATGGGCCGACGAGCCTCCGCTTTGGTGCCGCGATGGCGGATGGGGCGCTGGGCAGCGTTGGCGCGGCGAGCCTCGACCGCGACGACAGCACGCGCAGTGACCTGTCGGCGTTCAGTGTGGCATCTGTGGACATGCAGGACTTCTTGCAGGAATTCCGGAGCGCCAGGGCTGACTGCGTGGGGGTTGAGACAAAGATGGTAGACATCGAGGCGCTCTCGGAGATCCTTCAGATGGTGAACATTCCCCTGCCAGATATTCCGCTCATTGCGGACCTCTTCGAGGAGGTGAAAGAGGTTGGCATGATGCGCTACCACCGCAGCGGCGGGAGCGGTGCATTGGGCGAGGCGAAGAGTTGCGACAACGCGACAGCACCAGCGGAGGGGGAGCCGCGCGATCGCGTGTACTTCGATGCCTTCCTTGCGCGCATGGCCTTCATGATTCAGGGACGATACCCAGCCGAGGTCATACGGGGCACATTCTACTCCATATTGGAGTCCACCGTCAAAAAGAAGTGTTCCGCTGACGGGGTAGCACAACAGCCACAACAGCAGCAGCAGCAACAACAGCAGCAGCCCCAGCAACCCAAAGGTACAGGGGAAGAAATGCAGCACGCGGGCTCCAACAGTGGAAGTGCAACGGTTAGGTCGGGCCGCACAGCGGTCAAGGGCCTTTGTAGAACCAGCAGCAACACTGGTAATGGCAACAGCAGTAGTCTTGCCACAGCAGACAGTGCAAGTGCCACGCTGACGCACACGTATCCAAGCGTGACCCTGCCAAACACCGCGCACTGCGCCGCGCCTAGCGAGAACGTTTCCCCCTCAGAGCGCTCAACGCTGCTGCACGGTGTGCCTCTAGCGGTGTGCGTGGAGGAGGGCCTGTGGCGTGGCCTCGGCATCCCGGTGGGTAGGGCGGAGGTGCTGAATGCGCTGCACATGATTGGTATTCCCACGGAGGAGAACTACGAGTTCCACGTGAATGATTTTGTGCGGCTCGTAACGACGCTGACAGGACAGAATGCCATGATTCCGTTAGGTGAGCGTGGCTCGCCGTGGGTAGTGTCGTCGCTACCGCGGGAGAATTCTTTCTTGCCGTTTGGCGGCTCGTGCCGGGAGGAAAACCCTTGACGTGCGGTAGGCGGCGCGGGGCCAACGGGACAAGTGAAGGAAAAGAGCATGTTGTGCTCCGGAAGGGTCACCGGGGAGGAAGGGGTGGGGGATATGGGAGGCAGAATGAATGGGAAAAGAGAATAGGTGCTGTGCGAGACAGTTATGTATTCATGTGTTTGTGTGATTGCGTGTGTGTGTTTTTTTTTTTTTCTTCTTCTTTGCTTTTTCTTTGTTTGTTTGTTTGTTTTCGCTTTCTTCTTCTGTCTTGGTGTGTCAGTGCGGCGCTGAATGGTGGGAGCTGCCGTACGATGTGCATCTATCTAGCCCTGTGTGTTAGTGTGTGTGCACAGGAGTGGCAAGGGAGGGAGAGGGAAGGGGCGTGGAACGCAGACAGGCAGCAGCGCGCGTCTCCTCTCCTTCTGCAATGCATTCTCTCTACGCCTGTATCAATACGTCTGCGGACCCTCTGTGTATGTGTGCAGTCTTTTTCACCGTTTCTTTGTTTGGTTGGTGTTGTTGTTGGTGGCCGGGTGGCTTTTTTTTTTTTCTTTCTTTTGCGACGATACGTTCCTTATTTTCCACCTTCGTGTTTGGTCATTCTTTTGTTTCTTTTGTTTTTGTTTGTTTGTTTGTTTTCCTGTTAAATTCCTTCTTTCTTTTCGTTGTTTTCGCTCACCATCCCTCCCCTTTCACCCCTCCCCCTGTACTGGTCGGAGGCGGTGGGCCGCTGCCACTCCCGCACGCCCCTCCGCGCCGCTGCTGCTGTGGGTGGTGGTGGTGATTGTGTGGGGGGTGCCACGGGGTTTATCTGGTTGCAGGGGCGAGGGAGGCTCCCCCGTCGCGACATATGGGAGTTGCGGAGTGACATGTGCTCCCCCTCCCTCCACCTCGTGTTTTTTGTTTTTTCGTCGCGCACACATATACACGGAAGCACTTTCACACCCTTGGCTCCACCAGCAGTAAAAAGAAACAAGAGTATATATATATATATCTATATGTGTGTGTGTCGGGGGGGGTGTATAGCTCTCAATGGTGCTAGTGTTATTCGTTGTGATGGAGTGGAAGGGGCCCTGCCCTGCTGCTGGTGCCATGCCTTCCACAACACTTTTTTTTTTTCAAGGTTTTGTTGGCTCCTCTCTCTCTCTCTCTCCCTCCGTCCTACACACATCCTCAGCCTGACGTGGGTGGTAGGCTTACAGCAAGGAGGGCCGGTGACAGCTGCGGCAACGTTAGTCTTTTAGAAGCCGTGGGCGACGGAAAATGGCATCGTCAGTCCCAGCGGCGTTGGTTGGCAACGGCAACAGTAGCCAACACCGCCGTCTTGTGGCCACATCCAGCACGAACAACAATAGCACCGGCAACGGAAGTGACGACCACATCAACGCACCCCTCTCACCGTCTGTTGGCGGCGGCAACGGAGGGGGTGGCCGAGAGGTGGAGCAGCGCTTTGCCAGGATCGTGGCAGAGTATGAGTACAAAATACTAGAGGAGCGCGGTCGTGCGCAGGAGCGAGAGGCGCAGCTGCTGGAGGAGCTGCAGCGCGAAAGGGCACAGGCAGCGCGTCTGCTGAACGAACCCTCCCAACGGCAACAGCAGCAAGAAGGGCAGGGACGTGGCGGCACGTCGTTGGTGGCCGGGGGAAGGCGCGACGACGCTGTGTCCAGGGAGGACCACGAGCGACTCCAGCAGCAGCTGCTAGAGACGCGTGGGCTGCTGCAGGAGGCGGAGCGTCGCTACCAGCAGGAGAAGCGCGAGCTTCTCAACCTGCGCACCGCACAACTGCGAAGTGAGACCTCAAAGCGCGGGCAGGAGGGCGACATCATTGCCCGTGCAATGCAGGTGATGTCGGAGTACGAGGCCGTCGTGCGCAGCAGCGAGGAGAACAGTCTGGCGCGTCTCTCACACCACATGGAAACCTTTGAGCAAGAGTGGGTGCGCCGCTCGCGTGAGTTCGAGGAGCAGAAAGTTACATTCGAGGCGGCAATGCTTGAGAAGACGCGGCAGGCGTTGGCGGCGCACCAGCATGACGTCGAGTCCATCAGCCGCGCGTTGCTGGAGAAGACTACGCAGACGCTCAGCAACCACAATGAACTTCGGCTCGAGATGGAGGAGCAGGTGATGCGGCACGCGGAGATCTTCAAGGAGGAGTACAAGGCAATTCTTGAGAAGGAGTTCTACGACCGCTGCAGGCTCTACGACGAAAAGATCGCGGAGCGGGAACGTGGCTGGGTGAAGGTGCTGCAAGAGGAACGCAAGAAGATTGTAGCGGCGGAGCAGCGGGCGGTGAAGGAGCACGAGGCACTACACGTGCAGGCGCTTGAGGACGCGATGCGGGACTTGTCGCAGCTGCGTGAACAACTTGTGCGTGAGCACCAGGAACAACAAACGGAGGCTATGAAAGAGCTCATCACGCGCCGTGAGAACCTGCAGCGCGACCACGAAGGACTTATCGCGGCTATGAACAAAAAGACGCAAGAGATGCAGCGCGAGTGTGCAGCGACGGTGGAGGCGGTGCAAGATGAGATGCGGAAGCTGCACGTGCGCATGGCCGCCAAGGAGGCGGAGATGGCGCAGCGGCTACACGACGCGGAGCAAAAGGTTGATACCACGGCGCTCGCCAAGGCGCAGCAGATACGCGACGAGGTGGAGCAAAAGTGGTCGTCTATGCTTGCGGCGGAGCGGGCCACCTACACGGCGGAGCTGCAGCGTGTAAGCAGCGAGCACCAGCGACAAATGGAGCGCGTGCGTAGCGAGCAGGTGGAACGCGACGGCGCCCTGCTGGCGTCATACGAGCAGCGCGTTGTGAAGGTGGAGGAAGCGGCGGAGCAGCGGTGGGGCAGCCGTGTCGAAGAGGCAATGCACGGTCTAGAGCGCCACATGGAAGTGGTGCAGCTTCTGCGGCGCGACAATGAGGGCATGGCGGCCCGCATTACAGGCCTCACACAGGAGTTGCAGCTGAAGGCGGCGGAGTTGGAGGGTGCCGTTGGACGCGCGCGCCGCGAGCAGGACGCCATGTGGCACCGCAAGCTAGAGGAGATGAGGCAGCGCTACGACAACCTGCTTGACGAGGCGCTCGGCGGCACCGACGGTGCACACGTACCGCGTGCCGAGTACGACGCGGTGGTGCGGAGCGTGAAGGAGTGGGAGGAGAAGTGCGTGGCGTTGAAGCAGCAGAACGAACTGCAGCTCGAGCGGGAGCGGGAGCAGCTGAACATTGTTTGGGGTCAGCGCCTTGACGGGGAGCGCGCGCAGCGAACGGAGTGGGAGGCCGAGCGGCAGCAGTACTTCACCGCGCTGCGAGACGCCCTCCTGCAGGACATGCGGGCGCGGGAGGCGTCAGCGGCGGCGGGGCGGCGCG